AGGAATAAATGACATGAGGTACTTATTAAAAGCCAAAGATAAAAAGGAAAAAGTAATGACAACGTATCAGGAATTCACAACAGGATTCTTTTGACTCCTTCATTTCCTTACAAAGCCAATCTAACAGAAACACCCAAAATGAGTGAGAGATATGAGTAGTACGAGGCTAGCCAATATATAACATCAAGGACTTGTATCTATGAGCCCAGCTACCACGTCTAACAAGAAGGGTTTGTTTGGATGTGCTTTTGATATATTGAAAGATAATTTTTAGATGCCTAAAACGGTTAATCTTTGGCAAAAGTAGATAAAAATTCTTTTTGGAGAAACTTTTAGTGCTTCCTGATCAAGAAACACTAATAGGTTCCTTATCCGAAAGCACTGTCAAGTGAATCTGCAAAACCACTAGAGCTTTTGAGGAAAATTTCTATGTGCCTCTATCAAAAAGTGCTACTGAGCAAAAGTTCTTAAACATAAGCACTTCAAAACAATCCCAAAAATTTGCTGTTTCCTATTGAGTACCTAGCTCTAGAAGGACAAAAGGAAAGTCAAATTATGAAAAGATTTAGCAGATAAATATTTGGCATGAAAACATTATTATGTTCGGATATACTACAGTAGAATGGTGACAAAAAAACGCATAACAAATCCTGCCTAGCCTATGAATATTTATACTATCTTTGAATAATTTCCAGGCTGAAAAAGACTGACATGACAAAACTAAAACCACAAAAATTCATCTAACAAAAAAATGTATGCTCGTAATAGGTGAAGCAAGGCTCTCCCTGTACATCCCAGCTCTACCAACTTCAGGAAATCGATAAATTGAAAGATTCTGACTGCTTCGTAAAAATTGTGCACAACCAACAGGTCATTGCACAACAACGGGAGTTAGAAATGCATGATTACGATTTGGAAACTCATCCACATTCAAAGAGTAGAGTGAATTATGTTCCAATTTAGAGAATTACATGGTTTAGATCCACACCTGAAGCAGCATAACAACCTGACTGGCAGCCATGAAAGAATCTCACCTATTATCTCCATCAGGAAGTTAGGGTTTCCATCAGCTGCTCCCTCAATTTTTCCAGCCACATTTCCTCGGGAACAACTAGAAAGTGTGGCCTGCGTGTCTTAACAAAATGTAAGCTGTGTGTTAATGCTGAGTCAGACTCCGGGTAGAACTTGTCAGGACTTGACTTGCAGTTGTTGTTGGAGCTGGGCCAGTCAAACTTGGGCCTTCGGGCATGACACTTGATAATCCAATTGACCTTGCAAATAAAAACAATTTCCGTTATTGTGGACTCCAAAACAATATGCCTAGAAGAAAAAAAATGATTGCATATTTACGTTTTTTTGAAATGGGGGAAGTAATGAATCAGGGAAATCATGAATAGGCGAGAAGGAATGGGCATGGGATCAACTATTCCCCCTAATCGGAAGGTATTAGCAAATACAACGGAAGTTAGGAATTGGAATAATTTCAATACTCATTAACAAGTAAACATACCATGAAAATCAAACTTCTAGAAAGAGTAAAGCATCCCAATAGAAAGGGAAAGAAATAAAAGAAATTCTTGACTTACATAGTAATTTTCATACGAGTACTATTTTAGTCCCTTTACTTATTCACCACCAAATGATGTGAAAGTACGTTTATTCAAATACAAGGCCACTGTAAATGTAATTTATTCCGAATAAACAGGCGTAGCCGAGAGACTGTTACACCATTCCAAGAAAATCCTTAATACTTTCAGAGTGTCTGTAAGACAGACAATGTATATTTGGCCCTATTCAAGGCTAGCAAAAGTTTTGGTTCTTACAGGATTCAGTTTGATACCAATGCTTTATTTAAGCACCAGCAAGTTTACAAAATTGCAAAGGGGAGGCCTAATGCCTTATTTGAACTCACAAGTTGGGGGTGGACTAATTCTCTCAACCAGTTATGCTAACTTAAAATTTAAACAAGCATCGTAATCAAAGATACAGCAGCAATTAACAACCTATAAACTTTCATTTGAATTGTCTAGCAATTTCTTTAAGGATGTTAGAGCAGATGAAGAAAACATCAACATAACCTAGGAGTGCTTTGGAACCAATTTATATGCCATCATTCCAAAATGAAACTGATCTATCAACGAAGATTTCACAAAGAAAACCTAACACGTTGTTCAAACCAAAAAGATGCAACGGGAACAGACGGACAGAACCGCTGGAAAAGCTTTGTACCGGTACATTCTACGGTAGCCAGCCAAACCAACCAATTTTTGGGTCTTCAAGATCATTTCTTCTAGAACCAGAAAAGGAACCTAATGTCTTCTGGAGAAAACAGATCTGCTCCTGTGACACAAGGATGGCATTACGTAAAGATTTCCCACAGCCATTTCTATAAAATGAAAAAAGTTCATAAAATACCAGTATTCATATCTTTACAAAGTTCATAACTGAATCATAAATGCATTTAATTTGTAAACCAAAGACAAACAATAAAAGCATGGAAAACTTATGAGAAGGGAGCACATGTGACAGAAACAACGGGGAAAAGGGGCAACTAGCCACAATTTCTTTGAAAAATAACATTAAATAAGTTAGCAAAATCATTAATGAAAACCAAGCATAAGAGAAAATTATCACCGTAACAATGTTGGAAATTCAACCCCAGTGAATATGACTCATAGAATAACCAGGAATAATCAATCACGTTAGCCACTTATTAAAAGCCAACAGAATAAAAGGAAATGGAAACATATTAGGAACTCACAACCGAGCTCTCTTGACTCCTTGATTTTATTACAAAACCAATCTAACAAACAGAAGCATCCAAAATCAGTGAGATACTAGTTCTATAGACTCATTAATCATATAACTTCATCGACTTGTATCTATACACCCAACTACCGTGTCTAACAAGAAGGATGTATTTGGAAGTGCTTTAAATGTGTCAAAAATAATTTAGATAACCAATATGCCTTTATTAACATTTGGAAGAAATAGACAGAATGCTATTTCAGTTAGAGAAACAATTTCTGTGCTACATGAAGAAGCACCTAACAGGTGCATTCTTCAAAAGCGTTAATGAGAACAAAAAAATGCCTACGAAATCCTACCTGTCCTATGGTCTTGTTAAATCCAATTAAAACGAACATGCATGCTGCTCTGAATCATTCCATGGGTGAAAGAGACACATAGGATAACACTATACTGCAAATGCAGCACACAAATTCTTGTTATTAAAAACAAAACAAAAGGAGGGAAAAAAAAATACAGACTCTGATATTAAGAAAGTCTAAGCTCGGCATATTAAAACAAGCAGCATCAACCAAAAACTATTATAAATAAATAAATTGTGTCCAACAAGCGTGTAGTGCTTTCAGTTGTGCCAAAACTGCTTTAAATATATATAAAAAAGAAGTTTTTGTTAATACTTGGAAAAAATAGACAACAATGCATTTTTGGTTGGAAAAACAATTTCAGTGCTTCATGAAGAAGCACATAATAGGATTCTTCGAAAGCATTTTCAGGTCAATATGCAAAACATATTTGAGTTTCAAATGAAATCGTTTGTCTTTTAGTGAACGCGGTACCAGATGCTCCCTATAGAAGTACTTCAAAACAGGCCCGAGCGTTTTCTGTCTCTTGACAAGTATCTAGCAAAGCACTACTCTACAACGGCAAAAGGAAAGTAAAAAGTACGAGAATGTATTTTATTTTATTTTGGTCTGAAAGTACGAGAATGTTAAGCAGAGAAATATTTGACATGAAAGATTATTACATTCATGAATCATGACATACAACATAGGAACAATGCCGAAAAAAGCATACTTCTGCCCGTCCTATGGTTTTGTTAACTACCAAATAAAGCGAACGTGCATAGTGTTCTGAATCATTCCATGGGAGAAAGAGTAAGATAGGACAAAACTACAATACAAATGCACCACCAAAATCCTAGTTAATAAAGAAAAAACAAGTATAATTTTTTTTTTCATAATAGCAGTTTGGTTTCTGAGTATGGCTACCATTCCATTGATAGAAAAAGAAAAAAGAAAAACATACAGGCTCTGATATTAAGAGAGCCGAAGCTTGGCATATTAGAAAGAATCACCATCAGCCAATAAAACTATAAAAACCTCATGTCCGACAAAAAGGGTGTATTTTCCAGTGCTGTTATTGTGTCAAAACTGCTTTGAGATAACCAAACACGCTTTAAAAACAAATTTACCAAAAACAGACAACATTGCTTTTTCAGTTAGAGAAACAATTTCAGTGTTTCGTGAAGAAGCATGTAAAGGTGCAGTCTTCAGAAGCACGCCTAGGTACAGTCATTACAAGCATTGTCAGGTGAATAGTTTCCAAGGAAATATTTTATGTGCTTTTAGCAAAAACAGTACTAAATGCTCAATATAGAAGTACTTCAAAACAAGCCAGAGCTTTTAGCAGAGAACCACTGTACGAAGGCAAAAGGAAAGTAAAAGTATGAAAACATTTAGCAGAGAAATATTTGACACGAAACACTGTCACATTCATGACACACAATACAACAATAGGAATGATGATGAAAAACATATGAAATCCTGCCTGTCCTGTGGTTTTTTTAAACACCAAATAAAATGAACATGTATACTGTTTTGGATCATCACATGGGTGAAAGAGACAGATAGGATAAAACTATAATGCAAATGCAGCACAGAAATCCTTGTTAAAAAACATTTTTTTAGTATAATTGTTTTCTGAGTAGGCCTGCCATTCCTTCCACAGGAGAAAAAAAGACAAACTCTGATATTAAGAAAGCCTAAGCGTGGCATATCAAAAACAAGCACCATGAACCAATAAAACTATCAAAAACTCGTCTCCAACAAGAAGTGTGTACTTTGAAGTACTTTTAATTGTGTCAAAACTGCTTTTAGATAAACAAAGATGCTTTTTTTTTAGTAATTGGAAGAAATCGACAAGATTGCTTTTTTTAGTTAGAGAAACAATTTCAGTGCTTCATGAAGAAACACCAAACATGTGCGTTCTTCAAAAGAATTGTCAGGTCAATGCCAAACATATGTGAATTTGTAATGAAATCGTTTATGTGCTATTAGCAAACAAGTTACTAGATGCTCCATAGAGAAGTACTTCAAAACAGGCCCAAGCTTTTGCTATCGTCTAATGAGTATCTAGCAAAGAACTACTGTACACAGGCAAATGCAAACTAAAAGTACGAAAACATTGAGCAGAGAGATATTTGACACGAAACCTGTTACATTCAGGACATACAACAACACTAGGACTGATGATGAAAAGCACATACAAAATCCTGGATGTCCTATGGTTTTGTTAACTACCAAATAGATTGAACATGTATTCTGAATCATTCCATGGGTAGAAGAGAGATAGGATAACACCATAATGCAAATGCAGCACCAAAAATCAATGTTAACAAATAAAAAAAAAGGTATAAAATGTACTTGGTTTCTTAATATCAGTTTGTTTCTGAGCATGACTGCCATTCCAATCATTGAAAAATAGAGAATAAATACATGAACACTCTAATATTAAGAAAGCCTAAGCTCGGCATATTAAAAATAAACACCATCAACCAATAAAACCATAAAAACCTTGTTCAATAGTGCATAAACAATACCGGAAAGAAATTCAAACAAACAATAAAGTCTAGAAAGAGATTGTGTGGATTCATCTACTTTACCTCTTCTATCTGCATTTGTCTCATGCTTAATGTTCTCGATCAGTAATGCCATAGTAATTCGGTGAAACAAGACTCTCCAAGTAGGTTCCAATGCAATCAACATGGGGAAATCCAGGGATTGACAGATTGCAAAAGCTTTGTTCCTTAAAATTGTACATAACCAATTGCTTCTGGAACACCAACAGATCATGATTTTCCTTCCAAAAACCTGAAAGTGATAATTCGGAATAAGGGATGGAGATCTTTATCTTAGTCCACGACTGCCCCTCTCCATATTCATTCATGACCCAAAACTCATTATAAGTTCTTTCATCACTACAATGTGTTAAACATAGGCAGTCCCTGAAGGCCCCCAACACACAATCTCCCGCATCACTGGAATACTCAACCGGCAAAGGAATTTCTCCAGCCTGCTCCTCTTCTAAAAGGAAAGCTACAATCATGGATGTCTGGTCTGGTGTTTCCATTATCCAATGAAGAGTTCCATTGAGCAGGACCGCATGAAAGGTATATGCCCCAGAATAGGGAAGTGAACACTCAAGCTCCTCCCATGAACCGGTTTTCAACGAATAGACACAAAACACAAGCATATCATAAAACACAGCAGAAACCACCTTGTAATCATCAGTGGAGTGATCAAATCCAAAACCCAGGTGTTGTATATTATCTGGTGCCTCTGGCAGTTCCTCGGATTCCCCGGTAGTTGGGTTAACCAGATATATCGTCATTGGCATTTCAGCTAGCTTGCACAACAACAAACCATCACAGTAAAACAGGTCTACAACCCTGTAAGATGGTAGGTCACCGCAAACCAATTGGGCCTCAGGGGCAATCAAATCATCAGCACCATGATCATTATTCTGATTCAGAATTAACTGGTCGAGGTTAACAGAGTAAAGGGAACAGCAACCTGGCTCATTGAAAATGAGTCTTCGTCTTTGGTAGAACACATCATCGTTCTCAGAAGTTTTGTCAAAGTGCATTTTGATAAAATTAGGGTCAGCGATGAGAGCATTCCATGGCTTAGATACACACCTGAAGCGGCCCAACGACTTGACTGGCAGCCATGAAAGAATCTCCACTATCAGCTCCCATGGGAGGGCAGCTCCACTGACTCGCGAATCTGAGCCATCTGTTTCCTTACTCCACCAACATCATCATATCCAACCTCATCTAATGACCTCTCCTCATCCTCCCTTCTCACAGGCTCCCCGTCACAGAAGATTTCGGTGTCGGGCGCCACCACGCAGTACTCAGGAGGGTCAGTGTCGACAACCTTGAACTCCACACTCCTCATCCCTCCTCTCACAAGGAAGAGATCACCCTTCCTCATGGGTCGGTAGGCCTCGAAAAAATAAGGTCTCAAATATGTATCAAACAGATTTCCAGTGACCCCTTGGATACTGTCATCCACAGGAAGTACGTGAACACGTTTTCCATACTTGACATCAGCGCATTGGTAAACAGAAACGACATCTCCAAGCCTAACCCGTAGGTTGCTTCTGACAACCTTGTTCATCCTTATCTTTGGTTCCTCACATTTGTCATCAGCAACTACAATGCAGACTGTGTCCTTCCTTTTCTTTCCCTTGATCAAGATTGTGTCCCCACGAAATAGCTGGAGCCTCTCCATAGACTCTGGGTGGAGCGTGACAACAGAGTTGTCGTCATGGATAGCTTCATCCACAACAAGGCGATTCACAGCCTTCTTGCGGTCAAGGATTGCCGTAGTGAAGTCCCTCTTTGAACCCCCAGCGTCCGAAGATTGATGAGCTTTGTTGTTCATCGTAACGAGGAAGCAGAAGATCGAAGAAGATGAAGCGAGAGAGTTTGAGGGTTTTTCTCAATGGAAGAATGCAAATAAAGAAGCAGAGAGAAAACAGAGAGCAGAATAGCTAAAAGCAATGTGGTGGGTTGAGTTGTGTTGTGAACTTGTCATATTTATGGGCGAGGGAAACTTTTTCTTGTTAGGAAAGGTTTCCTAGTGTGTCTGTAAACATTTAGCACTTTTTACAAGATAATTTTCCTGCTTGAATATAATTTTCGTATTCAATAAGGACATAGACCAGTTTCCTAATTGAATTAATGTCCATCCCAAAGATTCCTAATTGACATAGGTCTACATATTGAGTCCCTGTAGTTTGCTGTTTTACATTTAAAAAGGACTTATAATTTTAATTTTGTCAATCAAAATTTTTATAGTACTTCAATTAATAAGTAGCCTCTACGTCCGGTATGTTTTATTTTTTTAAAATGTTTTCAATTGTATCTATCAAGAAACTTTTTTGTTTTGTTTTTGCCAACGAGGTCTAGTCCAGTAAAAAAGGACTTTGACTTGCAGACCAATGATCTCAGGTTCAAATCCCCATGGAAAAATCAAGAAACTTTGATATATAAACGCTAAAAACTATAAATTGAAGGAAAACCCCCAAAAATGACATGATGTGTGAAATATCATTATTATCTTTGCATTATGATTTTTAGAAGAAAGAAAACTCTGATGGTAGTGTCTTAATCTTAAGGTTTTTCAAGGCTTGTATAGTATATTTGGTCCATTTGAAAAGTCAAAATGGGCTTTTTCTTAAGGTATTGTATGGTTTCGTCCTAAAAAAAATTTGTATGGCTTTTCTGTATTTTAGGCCTTACTTATGGGCTTACATGTGAAAAGCCCTTGTTATTTCATGTGCTTAGAGCCCAAGCCATGTCAGGAAGGGAATTACAGGAGCTTCTATAATGAGGAGTTTAAAGTGAGGGGCTTATTTGAGGGTTTCAATCCCACCATCAAACCATTTAAAATGTTTAAGTCCATTGATTTTCTCACATTTGTTGGTAGTGAGATTGAACCTCTCAAATAAGCTCCTCACTAAAAAAGGACTTTGACTTGCAGACCAATGGTCTCAGGTTCAAATCCCCATGAAAAAACCAAGAAATTTTGACATATAAACGCTAAAAGCTATAAATTGAAGGGAAAACCCCAAAAATGACATGATGTGTGAAATATCATTATTATCTTTGCATTATGATTTTTAGAAGAAAGAAAACTCTGATGGTAGTGTTGTAATCTTTAGGGTTTTCAAGGCTTGTATGGTATATTTGGTCCATTTGAAAAGTCAAAATGGGTTTTTTCTCAAGGTACCGTATGGTTTTGTCCTAAAAAAAAATCGCATGGCTTTTCTATATTTTAGGCCCTACTTATGGGCTTACATGTGAAAAACCCTTATTATTTCATGTGCTTAGAGCCCAAGTTAGGAAGGGAATTACAGCAGCTTCTACAATGAAGAGTTTAAAGTGAGGAGCTTATTTGAGGGTTTCAATCCCACCATCAAACCATTTAAAATGTTTAAGTCCATTGATTTTCTCACATTTGTTGATAGTAAGATTGAACCTCTCAAATAAGCTCCTCACTCGAAACTCCTTATTATAGCATTTCGGGGAATTTCGCATTAGTTTTCAGTTGCAGCAATCTCAATTGGTACTACGAACTGAGTACAGCAAAATGAATTTCACAGAACCTTTATCATCAAACTTTATAACACACATAGATTAACTTTAATGAAGCTTTTAAACAAAGAGAAAGGAAATAAGCAGCAAATGATCTTCGCCTGACAACAGGAACAAAAATATTTCAGAAAAGAATTGCACGTCATAGTCCAGTTTTTGTAGAAGATCAAAATGCTAGCTCACAAGTTTCTTCATTATTTTTCTCAAATCTTATCTGAAAATTGCATGCTGCAATATGCCCTACTAATTTATCATATAACAGATAATTATATTTGAGACTTAACCTATATAACAGTTGCTGAACTTTTCCCCATCAGTCAAATTCCAGAAACCCAAACGTTATATTTTTGGTAGCCAATATAATTCTTTAATTAGAAAAGAAAAGAACTAACTCATTTCTTTTCTATTTGCTTATATAGAAAATATAAATTAAATACAAAGTTTGAGACATTTTCGAACAAGGCGGTACTTGATTTATTTCTTTTGAATTTTTTAGGATCACCTTTAAAATGAATGATTTCAATCATCATACGATATTATAGAAGAATAAAAAAAGAGGGAGAAAGTAGAAGAAGAAAGTACAAATTTATGATAGTGGCTAGGATTCTCCTAATTAAGAAAAACACGAGTTTTGAACTTAAATAAGATTGTTTATTGCAGATTGGGTTATGTCAGTTAGTCAAGGCAATGTAGAATATATCGCCCTTGTCCGAAAAACTTTATAACACACATAGATCAACTTTAATGAAGCTTTTAAACAAAGAGAAAGCAAATAAGCAGCAAATGGTCTTCGCCTGACAACAGGAACAAAAATCGTTCAGAAAGAATTGCACGTCGAAGTTCAAAATGCTGGCTCACCAGTTTCTTCATTATTTTTCTCAAATCTTATCTGAAAATTGCATGCTGCAGTATGCCCTACTAATTTATCATATAACAGAGAATTATTTTGAGACATAACCTATATTATATACTAGCCTCTTTGCATGCGCTTACGCGCCTGCGAGAGGCTTTTTAAAAGAAAAAATTAAATTTATTTTAGAATTAAAAAAGATAATGGGTAGTTGTGTTCCATAAAAAGAGGATCCATTATCTAATTTTTCTTTTAATTTTAAAATTTTTAAATATGAAAAAGTGTAAATTTACCATATTATCCTCACTTAATTAATAATTTCAATTCTTAATGTTTGCATTAACCAAGGGCATTTTTTGGTATTTTGAATGTTTCACCATTCTTTGCCTTTTGCTTTATATATATAGATAACAGTTGCTGAACTTTTCCCCATGAGTCAAATTCCAGAAACCCAAACGTTATATTTTTGGTAGCCAATATAATTCTTTAATTAGAAAAGAAAAGAACTAACTCATTTCTTTTCTATTTGCTTATATAGAAAATATAAATTAAATACAAAGTTTGAGACATTTTCGAACAAGGCGGTACTTGATTTATTTCTTTTGAATTTTTTAGGATCACCTTTAAAATGAATGATTTCAATCATCATACGATATTATAGAAGAATAAAAAAAGAGGGAGAAAGTAGAAGAAGAAAGTACAAATTTATGATAGTGGCTAGGATTCCCCTAATTAAGAAAAACACGAGTTTTGAACTTAAATAAGATTGTTTATTGCAGATTGGGTTATGTCAGTTAGTCAAGGCAATGTAGAATATATCGCCCTTGTCCGAAAAAAAAAGATTGTTTGGTTGGTCAATGACGAGTACTGAAATAAAACATAATTCAGATGGTTCTAAAATTTTATAAAAATCAATGACTTTGATGGTCAATAACATAATAAAGGAAGATTCAAAATCATTGATCACGACCAAAATCTTAAATTTTGATTATGATAAACAAAACTAAAATATGATTTCTGAATTTAAATAAGAAATGCATGATTCTTCTGATAAGGACCTAAACTAATAAAACATATTCCATATGAAAAATGACAAAAATACAATTCATTTGATGGTGAATGACATAATATAATTTGACCAAAAAAAGGAAGAAGAAGACATAATATAAAGAACATGTGCACCACGACCAGGGTCTCCCTGTGCGGAAAATCGTCTACCTTTTATCTATACAATATCAATGAGTCTGGTGATTCTATATATATATATATATTGATGATATGAAGGGATTATTTACATTCACAATTTCTACGAAATTTTTTCTTTTTAATTTTTACGTAACACTTTGAAATTATATGAATACACTTTTTGAAGCTCCAAATATTTTGCAAACATAAATTTGCAGATATGGGCTGAACCAAGTTGGCTAAAACGAATGTGCTCCCCACTCTGTACCCAAATTCGAATTCTCATTGTCCATAATTTAAATTAGGATATTAAAATAGAATATCGTTCATATAAAAACACTCAATAAATCTGAAACACCGCTATCGAATGTGAATAGAATTTATGGTAATACAACAATGTGATGCAAACTTATGCCAACTATATTAGATTAGTAAAACAAATCTGGTCAAACATACAAAATTTGACCAATGGAAACTGTGAACGTTTTGGCTCATCCTCATCACAGTACGTTTTGCCTTTTGGCTTGGAATCTAGTACATGGTTGA